CGGCGGAGTAAAGCTTTATCGATCTCCAGCGTTATCACAACCGGTCAGGCCGGTGCGCGAGGACTGTCGCGCGAAAGCGGTAGGCGTTGAATAAATTTAGCACGTTTAGCGATAAATCGCGCCGGCGTCTTGTCAAAATCGTAACAAGCGAGCCCGATAAATTCTTAACGAACGCGGCGGCGCGCAAACGAGGATCGATGACTGCGCGCGCGCGCGCGCTCGCTCGCTCGCTCGCTCGTCGCGGAGCGGCGACGGCGACACTCGACGGTTCAAAATTGCGCCCGCTTTCCGTGACTAAATAATAGCCGAGAAATACTGCCCCGCCGCCTCTGCGCGCGATCGTGGCCGTGGGCCGCAGGTAGCATTCCTTATCATTACGTCCCATAAACATTATCCACGGTTCCATCGAGAATGATTCCGCGACGCGGCTGGAAGGAGTGGCGAAGAGGTGGCACGACTCCACTCGGAAGGAAAGCCACTTCGGGCTAGAGAAAGAGAGAGAGAGAGAGACCGAGAGAAAGGAGCAGAGAGGGAGAGGGGGAGAGAGAGAGAGAGAGAGAGAGAGAGAGAGAGAGAGAGAGAGAGAGAGAGAGAGAGGACGAGCGACGTTGGAGGTGAAGGAGGTGAGAGTGGGCGATCGAAGGAATAGTCGAGAGAGACTGCGTCCGGCCGCAGCGGAGTGAAGCGACACGGCAGACACGCGAGAACGAGAGGGAGATAGAGGCTGAAGAAAATGTTGAGACAGGGGGGAACGAGCCGTGAAAGATCAACGGGATTTTAAATTTCGCTCCTTCGACGTACATCTCTCGCCGGTTTGTCTCGATACTACGTATGCTCGCCCACGCGTGCATTATACGCGCGTTCTGCTCGCGTTCGCGCCAGGAAGTGCTCGCTCCGCGAGGAACGCAGCAGACTGTGAAAACGACGCTGGCGAAACCGACGCTCGTCGATCGATGGCACTTCGATCTCGCGTTGCTGCAAATACGCGATTATTGCAACGTACCGGGAACCCGAGGTTACTCCGCGGCAGCGGCCAAAGTGCCACCGAGCCTAAGTTGAGAGAGATGGCGGCGTGAATTATGCATTATGCATTATTTTGTGCGCGCGCGTATTTGTACCGTTCGACTCGTGCGTGAAAAATCCTCGTCGTCTCGCGCTTAGCTGAAATTCAAGCCGCTTGCGTGATCTCTCCTCTGTTAGCAAGTCGCAGCGTTCCTATGACGCACGAGCCGCCTTTTGCAACACACGACGATACATCATTCCGCGCAGCGGCACGACACAGGCGCGCTGTGAACACGCGAACACGCTTGCAGTAGCGAACGCCGGCTGATGCCTGGGATGCAATCAGCCGGTCGGGCTATTTATTTATCTTCCGTTTCTCCGATGCGTCGCTAATTACCCGTGACTATACGATAAAGTATCGATACATCAAAAGCATACCTACCTACACGTTCGCATACCAACAGCAGCGGCGGTCCTTCCCTCTCCCTCACCCTTTCTCTCTCTCTCTCTCTCTCTCTGTTCACCTCGTTCTCGCACACGGAATATTATCGCCCGGTCTACGCCCGGCGCGGATTTTGTATTATTACCGTTGCCTTCCTGATAGCCTCCATGACGCTAATACGCCTGTAGATAAATCTGATTTCGCCGCTCGTACGTATTGTACCCGCGCATAGTACCCCGAACACGAAAAAGAAGGATCCTCTCGTTTGCGCCTACCTGGGCTCGGGAGAGGACTAAATTACGAGCTTGTCGGCCGTTGTTAGCTCGCAGCTATCACCCCGAGCCGGCATTAAACCAAACAGTACATTCGATGCGTCAGGCGATATACGCTCACGATCGCGGCAGCTTTCGAGGGAACCGATCGAACGCGATCCTGCGGTAGACAACGCCCGGAGCTCCTCGCTGGGTCTGTTGGGCACGCGGAGATTGTACACAGGGGTTGCGTGTTGCTGTACGCGCGGGGGTGCTTTAACACGGGGATGGGTAATGGCGGCCCCTATCAGCCCTACACACTCTGTCCCGCTCGCCACCCCCTCGGCAATGCCTCTCTCTCTCTCTCTCTCTCTCTCTCTCTCTCTCTCTCTCTCCCTCCCTCCCTCCCTCCCTCCCTCTTTCTCACTGTCTCGTTCCTGGACTACCTTTGTCTCTTTCTCCCTATCCCTATCGCGTTCACTCGCTCTTTCTCACTCGCTCTCTTTTTTCTCTCTGTCACATCGTTAAATTTGAATCTCTCATTATCCTCGAGAGACGTTTGGAATCTGGTCGCTCACAGTTGGAACGACGTGAGTGTGTATTCCTCGCTTTCGCGAGGATCTCTCTCTCTCTCTCTCTCTCTCTCTCTCTCTCTCGACGTAACGTGTACTCGCCCCTGTACCTTCAGTATGCACAACTTGAATAATCGATACAAAACGCGTGTATCCTTATAAATTCCTTATAACGTTTATTTTCTACTTTTTCTCTCCAACTATGCCGCTTAAGACAAATTAGAGATTCTTCGGATGCCTACACCTACTAATAGATATTTGTAGTGTATATTAATCTCAAATATCTAACGTGTTGAAACAAATGTGTGATGTTTTCAATTATTTCTTCAATACCAAACATTAATCGTCATGATCGTCAGTCGGTTGTCAAATTGTCGAAACCCTTGACTGATATTTTTACGCTTATCTCCCTCTTGAAGTGCCGTATCTTTTCATCTTCTTTTCTCTTGACGTTCTTTTTATCTCCTCTATTCTTATCAATAATAAATATTTTATAATGCGCTGCGCAACGATATCCCGGTAAGTTAGGTCGATAAAAGCTGTGAGCTGCGCAGCTACCGACCACTTTGCTTATTGGATCAGCTGCGCGTCTCGCAGTTCAGCACCGTCTTCGGCGAATATTCCACGGTCGGCCGTTGCACCGGTCACCGGAAATAACCCCCCCCTCCCCTTCCGTCCCGGAATCTCATTATCCCCGGATAGTTCTCGTCGTCGTTGTCCGATATCTCGACGCCACGATCGTCCAGCTCGAGAGGGGATTAAAAAATTCTGCCAATTCCACGGAATTTCCATACATCCTACTCGGTAATTTCATCGGCGGCTTCCAGAAGAATCGCCGCGAAGCGCTATCGATAGCTGCTGCAGCATATCGCAGCGCGGTCGTCGAAATGCTCCGTCCGAGGAATCGACTTCGAGTCAACGCAGGTGTGCGTATTCGATATTACGGGCAAGTACAGTCTGTAAAGTAAGAGCGTGTACGGCATAAATGGCAATTGGCTTCAAATATCGTCCTAGTTTTTTTTGTGAGCCGATAGATGAAATCTTTGTCGTGAATGCTTTGTCACAAAAGATTCAGTTGGCGTCGAACTCTAACCTGAGAAACACGTTAACCGCCATGAGTGCCGCATACGCATCGCGCTACGAGGCTGTGTTCCTTTGTTCCCACCCCAAAGGACCAAAAATGTCATATGCAGTGGCTGCTAAATACATGGGAAAGTCAAAATCGTTCGTCGCTCAGTGGGTTCAGCGATATAAGAAGATAAAAAATGTCGATGACTTGCCAGAACGTGGCTCGATAGGCAAAGTGACGCTCCGAATATGGAAAAAGAAATTGTGAATTTGTTTAAGCGGAACTCGACCTTAATGCTTAAAATTTATGAGAAGTGTTTGTTGCCGACTGCTGAACGATGCTTCGTAAAAAAAAACGAGGACTGGATCTTACAGGAAGACAACGAGCCAAAACACCGGAGCAAGCTTTGCACCGAGTGGAAAGAGCAGTCTGGCATCGTCACACTTGATTGGCCATCGCAGTCGCCAGATGCAAATCCCATTGAAAATGTGTGGGCATATCTCAAGCACAAGCTTCGAGGAAAAAGAGTGTGCACTTTGAAGCAGCTGACGCGACAAATTCGTCTCATTTGGAGGTCTTTACCGAACGAATACGCGGTCAATTTAGTGAAAAATATGCCTCGGCAGATGCCAGGCAATTATCAATGCCGGTGGTGACTGGACTCATTATTAATGGTATAGCATTTTTCTTCTCATGGAGTACAACAAATCCATGTACTTAAAAATCATTAAAAATAAATTTTTCTACACATTAACCCGTACACGCTCTTACTTTACGGACTGTATGTCAACGCATCTGATCTGATATCACACAAGCGCGCTTTTCTCATTCCTCAAATTCTTGATACTCGGTGAAATCGGCCAAAGAAGTCAGTGTTAAATAAAGTTACGCAGTTGCCGAAGCACGTATTAACTGTGTATGTAACGTGACGTTTCAGAGTTCAAGATTACATGAGATTTTGATCGTCGAATTAAGCTCTTTCAACATCTATTGTTTGAAAGATACTTTGACCAATCAAGTGTACACTTGCCACGAATAATGATCCCGCCGGTCATTAATCGGTTTATTCTATATCTATTTGATTCGATTAACGGTGATTAAACATTTTTGTTTGATAATGTACAGAATAATTTCTTCAGTATTTTTCTGTCGCGAATAAAGCAAACAAGAGGTCAAAGAGGTGTGGACCGGACAAAAAGTATCGACTTGTATTTGCGTGTTAGTGTCATTATTATTCTCATTATTACATTATTATTCTCTCATAAATTAGCGAAACAATTAGTTCGTTAGGCAAATTATTACGCGCCAGTCATCGACGCGCGACCGCCACATCTCAACATATATTCTCTCGCGTAACCACGTGACCAGTCGCGATTTATCTTCATCAAATCAATTCGCATTACATTTCTGACGCAATTAAATTCAAGTATTAAATTCAAGTTCAAGTAGAATTCAAATTGCGACAAACAAGCACTTACGCGCGAGCGCACAATATTCTCGACGAAATAAAATCTCAGTAGAACATTACTCGACATAGAATTTGATCAATCTTAACCGATTGATAACAACCGATAGGCGATGTCACACACGATAAAGCCTTTGTCTGTCATGCCTGATAACAAATTTTCTTGCGCGACGCGGTCACGCGTCACGGCAAATCTCAGTCAGTCGTCGTTCGGTGGCGGTTAACTTGGGACAGTGGAAAACATTAGGAACTATGTTGAACTCGTTAGTGTTTTTGGTGCTCGCGTGTTTCGCGCATGGTGATGAATACATAGGTAAGTGTAATCAGTCAATGCCGTCAATGCGCGCGATCGACTCGAATCTCGCGAAGTACTCTCGCCTTCGAACTCGCCTCGAAGAGAGAGAGAGAGAGAGAGAGAGAGAGAGAGAGAGAGAGAGAGAGTGCGCGGTGCGTATTCGTTGCCGAAATGGGGACAAACGAGCGTGTTGTTTTGTGTCGCGCGGCTGCGTTAATATGCATTATCGGATATCATAAATACTCGTTGGACGAGCTCGCGCGACGCGAAAACAGGCGGCGCGTCGATAGCGTTTGGGCGTCGTCGACACGGTTAATTAATTTTTCATTTCACCCGCCGATAATTACCGCCGAACGCACGCACGCACGCACGCACGCACGTCCCGAAACATAGTTTTTGCGTCTGCTGTGCGTCGCGGTAACAACGCGGAACGGCGCTCTTCCGCTCTGCCGATAAATCCTTTTGTCGTCGTGCAATTTAGATTTCATTTCGCGATAACGCGGTGCGCGCAGTGGTAACGATAATGATAATTATCGTGCATCAGGTTCGCCGATGGAACTTTCTGCCAGTTACCTCATAGAATCAACGACTTTCGGCTTAACCGGCCGTATAGTCAACGGGACGAAGGCTATTTTTGGGCAATTCCCACATCAGGTATAAGGTCTCTCTGTCGACTTTGATTGAACATATTCGATAGCATGTGCGCTTTTCTCAGGTATCGTTGAGGCGCAGTTGGTCCGAAGCTCACTTTTGCGGAGGCAGCATCATGAGCGACAGACTAGTCATCACCGCAGCTCACTGCATGCTTTTAGGGTACATTACGATATCAAACGTCTTAGCTCTTTGTCCAGCATAACTGGATATTGATTTGAGGTTCCAGAGGTTCTAATATGTGTTCTATGTTCAGTATGTGTGAATGGACATCGCATTTATGTTTGATAAAAATGGAGTTTTATGATATTTCTATTTTAAGAAGAAAACGATATATATATATATATATACATATATTCGTATTTTTAACGATATATACATATATTCGTATTTAACTTTTTCAAGTTCTTCTCTCCTTCTCTCTTTTTCATTCGAATGTCACTGGGCTTTAATTTAATCATTCGAACTCGCTGCAATTCATTTGGAAAATAACTTAAAATCGCAAAGAATCGATTAGCCGAGTAATTAGTAGCTATTTTAATTTTCCAGTCAGTTTAATTGAAAATTATTGGATTACCGTATTATTTCGCAACGTTTGCCATTTTTAATCGTCTATGCTTCACTCGTACATTGACGTTTAGCGGAAACATTAATTACCAATTAATAATCGATTCAGTAAAATAAACGGAGCAATTAATCACACAGGGGTAGTATCATCAAACCTTGGACTATCATCGTAGTTGCAGGACAGCTCAGATTAAACGATGTCACCCCATGGGGTCAGAAAAGGGGTGTGAAAGCCTTCAGAATACATCCAGAGTTCAATAGTAGCACTTTGCAAAACGACATTGTCATTTTGGAAGTACGTTCAACGATCTACCGTATCTCGTTTGTTTTGCGAACCGTTGTCACTTACACTCTCATGATTTTGATGACAAACAAACACGACAAACACCTATTTTGATTTCACAGTTATCGATACCCTTCGCGTTCACTCAGACAGTTCAGAGAGTTCCTTTAGTGACGCATGATCCAAAACCCGAGACATTCTGCGCGGTTTCCGGATGGGGTTATTTGGAGCCGGTGAGTACACACGGCGAGATTCTTTAGATTTCGCTTGTAACGAGAAAGCAATCTGCAGTTCAAACTTAAAGCTTGCAATTTAACACGCTTGAGATTTCAGAATATTTGACTTGATTTTCGGATCGGTAGACCGGCTTGAAAATTTCAGCTAAATTTCAGCTTGTCACTCTCCTTGAAACTAAACTAGAAACTGAACTAGAACTAGTTCAGTTTCTAGTTTACGAGACGTCGGAGAGAAATTCGAGATAGACACGCGGCACCTAACCCGGAAATCAAATCAAACCTTTCTCTACACCGCGAAAGCCTAAAATATCAGATTTCAGGGTACCTCCGTAACATCCAATGATCTGATGTATGTGGATCTGCCCATTCGCGAACAGAGGGAATGTCGCGAGCTGCTCGCCAACGTAACGAGCATATACCCGGGAATGTTTTGCGCCGGTTTCCTCAACGGAGGCAAGGACGCTTGCCAAGTAATATGCGCCTATCTTTTTTATTTATGTACATACGCGTGACGTGAAAATGACTTTGTCAAATTTCCAGGGCGATTCCGGCGGCGGTATGATTTGCGATAATATTTTGACCGGTGTTGTTTCTGGTGGCCATGGATGCGCGTTGCCATTCTTCCCTGGCGTATATTCGAATATTTTTTTTTACAAAGATTGGATAGAAAGTGTCGAAAATGAAGTGAGAGGAAAGAAACTGACCGAACGCGGATGCTGCAATTCCTGCGCTTACAAAACGCCGGAGATCGCGCTCGTTTTCTTACTGCTCGTGCTGTCAATTATGATTGGACCTTGAAGCTGAAGGCATCTTTGTTAGCATATAGATACGCGTGTTTGCCGACATTGTTAAACATTTTATGACTGCGCTTGGTGAGAGTGATACGCGTGAGGGAAATGTCTCGCGAAGAGCGAATGAAAAATTTTAAATTAACGAGACAATTTGCACGTTTTAACTGGCTGGGCACAGGATAATTCCTATGGGTATCGCGCGTTGCAATTTGTTGCTAACGAATACTTGATTAATTATTATTCTGCCAGATAATTTTCAGCGAATCGCATACGTTTGTCTGTGTGTTATATGAAAAGTTGTATGAAAACCGAGAGCAAATTAAAAATAAATTGTTATAATTTTATAAACAATAATAAACAATAATAAATAATGGTTATTTATTACATTTCATTTTGTTTTATAAATAAAATTTCAATGAGTTTGTCTTATAGATTCAAGTCTCTCATTACTTCTCATTTCGTAATATCTTTGTTTTATCACTTTGTTTTAAAAGCGACGTTGAGAAACACGCGGTGTAATATAAACAAATATTTAACGATCGATTTAAAGCCGAAGAATGTTACACTTTATGGTATCGACAATATCTATGACTCAAGGAAATAGCTATTTGTCTTCCCGTTGGTGTCCCCTTGATGGACAGAGATTGTATAGTTATCTTACCGAAATTGCTATTATTATATTTACGTATTTGGGAAACAAGCCTTATCGTGTGTTTATTCGTCAATCACTTGTAGTTGCTCACTTCTGTTTAACCAAAATAAAAATCGGAAATTTAATTATTTATACGCGAGATATGTCTATACTATTATTTTTTATTTAATTATTAGCAGCGATTCATATTTTATTATCAACTATCTACTAATGTTATCTTAGATAGCACGAGAATGATAAGACGTCATATACAGTAATTATTATCACTATAACATTGGTAATTACCTAGTTGTTTCAAATGTGACAGATAGACGGAAAAATTTTTGCTCGGTTATATGTTTTCTACACATACATTCGTATAGCTTCTTTTTATTTTTAATTATAAATGTGTCATTACGTTCTCTCGCTTATTTATAAAAATATTCACGCTTTGGGAAATATTTGTCTAGATATTTATCTTTTCCATGAAATATGTTTCGACAGCACGCGTCGTTTTGCTAAGGTACAAATAAAAAATATATTTTATTTGTAGAAAGATAATAGCGTTCTTTATTTTTAACTTGTAACAGTTTTCTCGTATAACTGGTTTATAATTTATATTACTTTTAATTACTCCGTCATTCAGTTATTAAAATTCCCATTTTCAAGATTAATTTTTTCAAGAATAAAACTTTATATTAAAAATTCTATTTCACATACTGGAGTTTCCTTGACTTTAATAAAGAATCATCTCTTTTTACGATTATATCACGAGGATAACTCGTTGCAAAGTCCAATATTCTCAAAAATTTACTCCACGGGGAACTTTAGAAAGAATTTTAATTTTTAATATTTACGCTCTTTACGGAACACAAGCCGTTTAACCATATTAAATACTACTACATCAACATTTTCTTCAAGGTAGGCGAGGGCGATCCAATTTTCATAATTTCTCGCAACTCCTATTAGGTGTGAAAGGGTTAATACGAGGGGTGATTTTTCGTTGCTTCTCGTGCAAAGAGACATCCGAGGGTCAGAGGAGAGAGAGAAAGAGAGAGAGAGAGAGAGAGGGAGAGAGAGAGAGAGAGAGAGAGAGAGAGAGAGAGAGAATAAAGGGGAATGAGAAAGAGGAAGAGAAGACAGACGTATATGACGTATCCACTTTGATCTCAAACGAGAAGCAGCTCCAGCAGACGCGTAAAAAGCACATACCCACTTAATACATGGCAGATGATACCTCGAGAAATGTATTAGCGGATTGCTCGCTGCCAAGACGGGGAAATGTCTGCGGCGTATTCGCGAATCGCGCGGCTCTTTTGCCACGTCCGCCCGACTTCGGAGTGTGCACCGGTATTAAATTCTGCGAGATCTGCGGGTACCTTCAAAGAAACACGCAGGGACCTGGCTGCTCCTTTAAATTGGATATAAATTTCATGCGCTAATATTTGCTATATGCACGCGCCACAGAGCTGGTTGTGAAAAATTATGGAGCCTGGATCGCAACTGCCCACCTTTCGATGAAATATCGATCACACTATTCGATATGGTCGAGTGACTTAAATTAACTTAAAAACACAAGAACGTAAATGAATACGAAAAAAAAGATCTTGATGATTATGTATAAATTAAAATTCTCCCCGAAAATTTTGCCGTCGAGCAAATTTTCGCGAGTATCAGAGATGGTAGTGTACGTTTTTTCCAAAGTCACTGTACGCAATCCAGATACGATATCTCGCTCGATGAGATCACCATTCGAATCCCTGATCGACTGTTATCTGATGTTTCACATGCGAAATAAAGCGACTTCACGTAATCGCAGACGCGTTCAGACGAGCCAAGTACAGTTACTTGTTATCCGGAATGGCCCTATAAAACTAGATCCCAATGCATTTTGATCGGCAAGAGGAGGACGCAAGAGCACGGAGCACCTACGCTCGTACTCTCGCATGAATGCCCGAGCTCTTCCGGCTCGCGTGACCGCAATCTCCCGAAGCAGGCTTCCGCTTCCGAAAGTTAATCCGCGCGGAAACTCGAGACGCGCGCGCGCTTCGTAGGGATTTCAGGGCTCGTGTAGGCTCGATCGATGCCTAGCGAAGTGATTGTGAGACTACAGGAGCGAAAGAGGAAGAGGGAGGGGAGAGGGATAGAAGAGAGGATACGACGAGAGGAAAGTAGAGTATAAAATCGAGAGACGAATGAGTCGCGGCGGAGTGGGCAAGCATGGCGAGGCGGGATGGAGAGGGGGAGGACAGAGGCCGCGGGTGAAAACTTCCGCGTTTCACCTGATAAACGTAACTTCTGATACGCGCGCCCTCTCTGGCTTCGCTTTTTTAAGCTCAGCAGGGCGTTTTTCACGGCCCTTCCGATGCTGCCCTCCGGCTTTTAGCTCCACGTGTACGCACCGCTTTCTCGACGGCGAGGGAGTGAGGGAGGGTTGAGAGGAGGGCTTTGCGCACCGAGACAGGGTCCATTCGCGACCTCTTTAATTCCGGGATCGAATAAGAATTCATTAGAGGATATACAGGGCACAATTCTCCCCCTCGCGCAGGGAAGGACTTTTCGGCTACCGCGCGGCGGGGGTTTTAAATAAATTAAAAATTTGCACTTTCCGCGGGAGCGAGTACTCCACCTCGCCGAGCGGTCGAAAGCGACAGCAAGCTAAATTCGATGGGTGGATAGAGCGCACTCTCCCGACGATGAAGTTCCCTCTAATTACTCGCGGGAATCGAAGGCAACTCGGCGGGAGGGTGGATTCGGTGGGGGCGAGAAGAACGCGATGGACGACTATTTAGCACACGGAGTTTTGCGAGTGACTTGCGTCGTGGGCTAGAGATCGACGGAGGAAAGAAGACAAACTGGTGCGCCTTCGTCACTTCGTCATTAAACTTTGCGCTTGAGAAAAAGAGAGAGGGAGAAAAAGGGGGGAGGGAGGGGGCGAAAGCGAGGGGAGGGAGGAAGAAACGTGCAGAGGCTAAGACGCGTGCTCTGCCGACAGAGGCGTTTATTAATGACACCTTCAGCGAATCCGTGGGTATTCTGTGGGCGAGCTCATTATGTTAATTGTACACTCGCGCCGTATCGGAGCACGCGTGGGCATTTTCGTCGGAGGTGCAATGGCAAAGTTCGCCCGGCAGACGTGTGTCGCTCGCGAAAGTACGCTTGCCCACTTTGTGCGATCGGCCTCGACTCGTTAGAGATGACTCATGGATTGAATCCGCGATTTGAGACGGACGCCGCTGTTTCCAGCGTGCGTAAAATTCTCACCGTTATATACTCCATGGAAGAAATTCACGCGAACGCTCTCGCGACGCGGTGCCGTCGCCGTCGTCGTCGTCGTATAAACGTCCGCACGTCTGCGGACAGCTGCGCGTGTACAGAAAACGTGTACACGTGTCACAAATAGATCAATCAGGATCGTCGAATGTTAGAGAGAGAGAGGGAGAGAGAGGGGGGGGAGAGAGAGAGAGAGAGAGAGAGAAAGAGACGGCGCAGGGCGCCGAAGGTCGCTTACGTGATCAACGATGATTTTACGACGCATTTAAAGCTGTGAGACGGCAGAAGGAACGTCGGCTTCGTGCCACGGGGCGACGTCGAACGACGACGACTTCGAGGAACGAATCTCGCTTAATGACTGCGTTACGCATTAATAGCCGCCTGGAAACTGCTCCAAGATACACGAGGAAGTCATTTCACGTGGATGTGACCGGAAATTCCAATAGCCCCTGCTACGAGATAGGCAGCGGCTGGGCTTGCTTTTCGGATAGGGAGGGGTTTACGCGAAATTCATTTTTATAATTAACTTTGCGCGCCGGAATATCGATCAGCGGTGAATCACGGTGGAATATGCAACCACCGCGGCAGCCGAGGTCAAGTATGCAAATTCATCAAGTCGATCTGTCGGGAAGAATTGCTTCGGAAAAATAGATTTGTTTTTCAATCGTTTGTGCGAGCAAAAGTCACTATTTGTTATCTTTCGACGGCTTTCGTTCCGAAAGCCGATTCACAGCGAAGGAGCAACGCTCTCCATTTATGACGCGCCAATTATTATTAAATATCCCGAATCGCGACTTTCGAGCGGAGGAAAAACGAAAAAGTAACGAGAAAAGAAACGAGGACGCTTAATACTACACACGCACGTAACTGCCGCATTAATAACGCCTGTACCTTTTTCATTAACTCGACTTTCACTTTTGGCGCGCCTTCATTACTCAAGCAAGATAAATCTTCGCTCGCGCTCGCGGTAACGTCGCGCGCGATTGATGCCGGTAACGGTCAGCTTTACGGAAGGAAGATGAAAGAGGTGCGCTCTCAAATTTGCGTCTCGCCCACTCTCTTTCTCTCTCTCTCTCTCTCTCTCTCGTTCTTCCACATTAGCGGAAGATGCCGACGTTGACCGACTAATTAATTAAATGCAAACGCGGCGAGCTGTGCTCTCTCTCTTTCTCTCTCTCTCTCTCTCTCGCGCGCGTTCGCCGCAAACGGCCCCGTCTCTCCTGGACGCTTTCATTCGCTCTTCGTTTCCAACGTTCCGGTTTGCCTATCCTCCACCATTTTTACGCTCATTGAGCGCAAGCTCGCCCATCCAGCGAGAGCGAGCTTCGGAAATTCCCAAGTCGCTTATTTGCGTTTACCTAAGGGTCGCGTCTTCTTCGACGCAACGCAGACGGTTAATTGGCTGG